CCTCCCCCCCCCCCCACTGAGATGGGTAGTAGCCAGGGACATTTTTTTAGGCCCCTGATACATGTAAGCACCACCTCCCCTCCATTTTGTGCCCAGTGACACCTGGCCCCCTCTCCCATTTGCCTCCACCCACTGCTGTCCACAGAGTAACTGGGGACAGCTGTAGCAGAAGGGGTAAATGGAAGGGAAGAATGAAGGAGATGCTGTTGAGCACAAAGGGGAAGTGGGGATTGAGGGATTTTTTACCTGATTCAGGGACTTGGAAAAAAAAGTCCCTGGCTTCTGCTTCCATGGGATAAAAAGGGGATGTGACCAAGCTGCTGCACCCCCTCTTGATCTCCCTGTGGCAGTACCTAGGTGCTTGCTTGTGTGGTCTGGTGAATGTTTTCCTTCCTCTCCTCTGTAAAGACAGCAGGCAGGAAGCTGGTCCTCTCTTCTTTTGCGTTGCCACTGTTGACTGTATGCAGCCTTGTCTCCCAGCCTTTGCTGTTGTGCCGGCAGCTACCCTGCTCTGTGCAGCAGCTGATCTGAAGCCTCCCTGCAGGATAGCTGATTACAGAGCTAGGCTTCAGGGCTAGCAAATGACTCATGCTGCCTTTTCTGAACGGTTTTACAGGCTGAAATGTTTTGAGAAGAGTGTGTGTTATATTTCCCTTTCTCTTTCCTGATAACTTATAATTAAAAATTGCATGGGACTTTTTGTAAGAACAGAGAGAATGGTTTCCCCGGGGGTCCTGCTCAAATGAGATAATTCCATTTTGACTACTTAAATTTCCTCTGCTCTTTCAACAGAATGAAGGAGATATCTATCCATTCTTCCTTCTTGTCCTAAAGTATGATGCATTATTGAATGCTTGCCTTGCTTCACTTCAGGGGTAGGCAAACTAATTCTTGTATCTGTGGCCTGCTTTTGCTTCCAGCAGAGGCAATGGCATGACTCTCTTAGACTTCACTGTGGGTAGGATCCTTTTCTAAAAGGCCCAACATCCTGTTTGTATACGATATCACTTGGCCCACTTAGCATTTTCTAAATCACAATCTTGGTGCCATGAAAGGGATGAACAAGGGGGAAGAAGAAAATTATATTGTCTTTCTTCTGAAATTTGTTGAAAGATTGCAAGGCTGTGCATTCAAGCCTTTACAGGAGTCTAAATTAACATAAGAGGATTTCACAACCTTATTTACTAGTCACTTTTAAAGTGCTTTTAAATGCCTTGTAGCTTTTAAAAGGTTTTCCCAGCTTGCTTTCTAACTTTTTTATTATTAAATAACTGATTAAGTTTTATATTACTTGCTTGGTTCCCCCCAGATCTCTTCACGAGAGACATTTAAAGGAGAATGCAAAAAGCCCTGGCTCTGGGTGAATCTCTGCTGAAATCTAGGCATGCAGTTTCTATTTTTAAAGTAGAATGTAGGATTTTTTTAATACTATAATACTGCTGAGTTGGCTGCAGTTATACATAGCTCTTCACCCTCTGTCTGAGCCATTTTTAACTGTAATGTTCTATTTTAAAGAAAGTTTTATCTAAGAAGAGACATGCTTCTAATGGCCTTTTTTTCAGTGAAGATGGAGTTTAAAATTGGTGCAGATGGACCAGGATGACTCAAGAGCATTATAGCCCTATAATTCATACCTGCTTGTGTCTTGTTATAGAAATGCCTGTTAGGACATAATAATTAAGTTGAAATTCTCCTTTTTTTACTAAAGCAAGAATTCAGCCCCTTTATGTGAAGAATGCATCACAAATTCAATGAATGAAGACCTGAATTTTCCTGAGGATTTGAGGTAAACTTGAGTTTATTCACAAAAATTAATAACTGTGATTGTTTCTGGTAAGTCTAATTCTCCCCTGCCTCCCATATTTCTCAAGCTATTACTATATATTTTTTGCACACAACACTCACCCATTTCTAAAAATCAGCTCTTGAAAACTAATGTGTACTTTAAGAGAAGTAATATGGTAATAGTATTTGTATTTCCTGTAACTTTAGCCAAGCACCTGCTCTATAAGAAGCAGCACAATAAGCATGCTCAGCTCCCTAGCTGCTGCTACTTACTACAACTTGCCAAGCTTTTCAAGGAAAGAGATTTTTTTTTCTTCATTTTGCCTTTCAAACAAAAGGTCCATATCTCATTTGGAGGAATGTTATATACTGGAGAGTACACTAATCAGTTTGTTATTACCTCTTTAAAACTTCCATATAATTTTTTTTTCAGAAAATTTTGAATACTAACGTGTAAGTTACTAGCAAAAATACTAATAACTAGTAGCAAAGTTACTAATGATTGTACTTGACTGTTATGATTATAGTATCAGCTCAATACCTGATGACAATTTTCTGAAGGCTTTGGAACTGAACAGTATACATGCAAATTGCTTTGCAGCTCATGCTGGAAAAACAATGGGATACTTTAAATTAGTTCCAGAAGGTAATAAATAACAAGCAAAGAACTTTTTTGCCTAGTAGCTGAAGTGGGTTTTCAACACTTGAGATTCTAATGTTCAGGTGTTAGATGTTTTTTACTGTTTGACTGACATAAACTTTAATTTTGGAGTAGTCTCTAGTATCATTAATGTAAGAGGTAACCTAAATAATTGTAAATTTTATAACTAGGAGGAACTGTTACATGCCATAATTCTACAGGTTGAAATGAGTTAAAGGAAGAATAAAAACCACTTTTTGCTTCTGTTAGTTGCTCTGTACACAGATGGGAGAGATTAAGATTTAACTCTGTATCCCTAGACACTTGGCCCAATCTTGCGTACAACCACAATTTTGCCTCAGCGGATCTCCTCAAAGTCAGCAGAACCCAAATGGTGATGTATCTCTGCAATAATGTAATCTTCACCCACTCACCTGCAGAGGGTGTGTTGTGGTATAATTCATTGTACTTTAATGGTGGTAGGAGATGGTAACAGCATCTATATAGCATGTGTGCGCACATACACACAGGTACTTTGTTAATTAGCACTTGCAGAAGGTAAGTGAAAGAGTTTTCCGATGCATCTGAGGCATACACTACCCCTGAAGACACAAATCTTCTTTTTCCTTGCAAAAGGATAGGGAAAATAATGGGGCTAGTCAAACTGGAGAATCATGGGATCCATGGCTTCTACGGGCACCTTTACATTGGCCTCTCAAGCCAGCATGTCTCACCTGTGGAATGTCTCAATGATACTGAATCCCAATCAGTGAAAAGAAGATTTACCTACTGAGATGGAAGACTTTCTGTTTTGAAGTAAACCCAATGCAGATTTCCAGGGGAAAGGAGTGAGGAATGGGAGTCTGGAATGAAAGCTTTGGTGCTTGGCAGAGTGGGGAGATGAAAGTACAAAGGCATGCGAGATCCCTCCCTCCTGATCTCCAGTGAAAAAAAAGCACCAGCACATGTGTGGTGTCTGAATGGGGTGTCACATTCCTGGTTCACCTTGGATGACAGAACTCTATTTGCCTTGAGAGCTAGAAGTCCAGCTTAGAGCTGAACATATCTCATGTGAACTGTTTTTTGTATGCAAACTGCTTCCAAGTATTTTAAGTTCAAAATGATTTATTTTTGATTAAATGAAACAATTGCACTCTCCATGAGAGAGTTCAATGTGCCCTTCTCTATAAAAATCTGTGATAGCTGAATGAACAAAATGGCTGCTGTTTCTATCTACAGGCAGAATTCTTAGAAATAGCACATAGAAAACAATGGCACTACAGTTTCATAGCTGCATGCACAACAAGATCCTCTTATAAAATAAAGGTGCCCTTTGAACAGATTGGAAATCTGTATTACAGACTGAACTCTGAGATTCTGGACTCCAGCCTGTCTCTAAAATTTGACATGGTATATTGCATGAAGGCAAGTGGCTCATCAGGCTCGCAGAAGTCATCCGAGAGCCAATGTTTCAGATTTTTGGCAGGGATTGGTGGGGAACCAAGGAAGTAAATACTTTCCCTGACAAACTTTGCAATTTATTTTGTGACATGTAGTATGCAGCAGAAAGAAAAACCAGCTGTTTTTGAATGATAACTGCAGATTTTGAAATGAAGCACAGCAAGTAGGAAAATACCATGGAACCTATGACAGATATTAATATCCATCCAATACAGCAAGTTTTATTTAAGCCTTTCTAAACAATGCCTGTACAACTGAAGTGCTATGATGCACCGTGGCTGTTTAGGGGAGACATGTCTAACAATATTTTCCAGTTCTGATCTGGCCTGATGTTATGCACCATTCTCTTACAAGACTGAGGCAGCATGATTGGAGTAAGAAGCATTAACTATGAGTCCCGTGCACTTAGCTCTCCAATATTCCTAGATATTGTGTGTTAAAGTTGCACCGTTGGACTTATTAGGCTCAACTTCTGTCTTGTTTTCCCTTTTCCAGATGCCTTCTTTTCCCTTAGTTTCTTGTTGGATCATCTTTGCAATTCCTTGGGCCAGATCTTCAGTTGGCATCAGTCGATGAAACTCCCACGGACTTTATTTCCTACCTACTGAGGCATTTGTTGCCCCTTTGAGTATAGTTCTTTGGTACAAACCTAATGCCTCACTCTTGTAAAAAAAATAAAATAAAATAAATAAAACCAACACCCACCTATAGAGCACAATCCTTCAGTAACTGAATGATGTCCAAGCAGAAAACTGTGCAAAGGACATAGATTTTAATTTGTAGATTCTGATGGGTTATAAGAAGCAGAAGTTATTGTAAACAGTAATCCTTTTAGGTTTGGAGAGTGTATTGACAACCCTCTTTAGGCAGATCTCTGCAATTATTGAACAATTGGATTGTCACAGTTTTATATTATTTCCTTCCAAAAAAGAAAATACCCCCCGCTATGTTTTTCTGACCTGTCAGTAGAAAACAAAATAGCCTTTGGGATTAAAGTGGGGAACAAAGTTCCTTTTCAGAGCACAGTTATCAAGACATCCTTGCAGAGACGAATCTTCTTTAATGTAAAATACATTGCTGCATGCTATTCAGAGTAATTTACTTTTTGCAGTTGTGTAAAGAGGTTCTTTCAATGGCTAAACCCAATGTCAAAGAGAGAAGTTGGACAGCTCCTTGCTGTCTGTCTGCTTCTACTATTCACTTTCTGCGTGGCCTGCACCTATGGAAGTCAATGGGAGATTTGCTATTGATATTAACATGAACAAGAATGGACCCTGTACTTATGTGCCTCTGTCTCTCTCTCCTCCTGCTCATTTCTCACTCTCTGACCTGCCAGCTTCTGAGGATCAAAATAAGTGACAACCAACACAGGGAGAATAGGTACAAAGTGAAGCTGAACTAGAGACCTCATTGCTAGCCTGCCTGTTTTGAGCAGACATTAAAAGACTAATTGGTGGAGAAGCATGAAGCAGAACTTCCTGGCAGGGTGTCCCTTGCAGCCCTGCCCCATGGCCTTCTCTGTCTCACTTGGAAAAAGAGATGGTAACTCACATCCACAGCCTTCAAATTAATCCTATTAGGCACTCTTTTGGAAGAAACAAAAGACGGCCAACATCCACTTTGATGAATCCAGTGAGATTCCATTATAACACCCCCCCACACACACACACACATTTCTACATGCATTACATTTCTACATGGTTTTGAATGACAATGAGCCCAACGTGGGGGGGAAGCTGGATCTGTTTCAGAGATCTGGGAAGACAGGAGGGGGCTATGACAGCCTTGGCATCCTTTGCTTATTCAATAAAGAGACCATCCGTAGAAAAGGGGACTCCCAGGAGATCAAAAAGGAGCTGTCATTGGCATCAGTGTCCCCTGATGGGTCTCAAGTTTTACTGAGAACAAACTGTCCACCTTTTGGAGGGAGGTAAAAACTCCTTTTACCTAACTGAAATTCCCCAGCTACCGGCTGTTCGAGCCTATGCTCCCCTCCAAACACCCCTTCCTCAAGCAGAAAAATATCTTCTGGAGCATTTGGAGCACAGATGTGTTGTCAGTTCAGTGCTTAGATGCAAGCCTTGCACTTAGCCAGTTACTTTTGGCCTAAAAAGAAAGGTGGGGGGGATAGGGCTCTTTGCTTAAGACAGTTTTTAAGTGGCCTTTCCCCCCATCAGTCCCCACGAACCATGTCCTCCTTCATAAAAGACAAATCTAGTGATTTTGACAAGTCTGCATTTCCCATACAAAGGGACATGAGCTAGAACAGATCTCCAGTGGCATCAACAATCCATTTTGGGGTTTGACTATGATTGTCATTTAGCTATTGAAGTCTTTTGTGCCAGTGAACCATATTCATATGAACCATTTCATATATGGCTTTTTTTTAAATAGCCATGGTATATAATTAGCTGCTTAATTTTAGAACCCAAAACACTTTGAAGACAACACTAGAACAAGTATGTTTTTTCATAGTTGGTAGGGTTGGAAGGGACCTGAGCAGATCATCAAGTCCGACCCCCTGCTATGGCAGGAAAAAGTACTGGGGTCAAACAACGCCAGCAAGGTGTTCATCTAGCCTCCTCTTAAAGACCCCCAGGGTAGGAGCCAGCACCACTTCTCTTGGAAGTTGGTTCTAGATCCTAGCCGCCATGATTGTGAAGTAGCA